GTGTACCGTTACACCCCTACCTTACACTAAACTCTGGCAGATTTCAGGTCGGACAAAAACCAGGTTTCATTAGAACGAGCGGAACAGAGGGCGGCACAATGATTTCAACATGATTATTCATCTCATGATTTTTCTACACGTGTTCTGAAACATTAGTTCTGCTTTAAACCCTAGAAGGTCAGATGTGGAACAATTGTTTATTTTTTGTCATGTTTTTATGTTGTGTTGTCAATAAATAAGTTGTTAGCTTTATTTTTGAAATTCAAAAAACAATGACAAGCTTTTCTAAAAAATAATTTTCCTCAGAAGACATTAAAAACCCAAAAGAAAAAGAGTTGAAACGGAGCAGACATGTTTCAACATGGCCGCCACAACACTTTTTAAACTAACCGGGACACACAAAATAAAGCTTTACCTTCACACTGATTGCGGGGAAGAATCTTCCATCTGGTTTTGATAACCGTTTCCAGTATCTGGAGAGCGTAGTACTGCAAAAGCCAGAAAGACACAGATTATACACAAAGAAGCAGTCGGTGTGCACTTTTACTTAGGGATGCACTGATCCACATTTTTTTACTTCCGATCTGATATCTAAATCTTGATGTCTGTCGATACCGATACTATTCCGATGCCGTTCAGATATCATTCAACCTTTATTTCTACAGGTTAATCCCACTTAGCCTTGAGGTCTCATTTACAAGAGAGACTTGATTTTTTTTAACAAAGAGTGATGACAAGAATGGACAACAACTACAACAATAGACAATTATAAAAGATGCATAAAATTTTTTTTTTTTTTTTTTTACAAGTTCAAATAAAATGGCAACCAAAAGGACAATCAAAAGGAAAAGGTAGCGAAAAAACAGCTAGATTGTAAGGCGGTGTAGAAAACTAAAAAGGGAACATGTCTGCATTGGTTTTTGCCAGGAACTTAACGATTCAGTTCAATTCAGTTTATTTCTAAAGCACCAAATCACAACGAAGTTGTCTCAGGGACTTTACAGGAACATTCACATAAAAGCCAGTTAGTAAAGTTCTCCATCTAAGGAATCCAGCAGACAAGTTGAATCTTGGCTTCGTCTCAGTCTTCCATCCTGAGCAAGCACAGTGGAGACAGTGGAAAGAAAAACTCCCTTTAACAGGAAGAAACCTCCAGCAGAACCAGGATCATGGCAAGAGACCATCTGCTTTGACCGGCTGGTTGAGAGGACAGGAAGGAGAGACAAACGAACACAGAATGATAGGTCCAGGTCCAGGTCCAGGTCCAGGTCCAGATATAGGTCCAGGTGTATCTGAAAGACAAAACACATGTGAAGGATAGAAAAATAATTACAAATACAAACCAGGTTGAGCAGAGTAAGTAAAGACAGCAGCAGAGTGAAAAGTGTGGTCAGTTTGTCCTCCAGCAGTCTAAGCCTATAGCAGCAGAACTAAGGGACAGCTCAGGAAACCCAAGCCGACCCTAACTATAGGATTTAGCAAAAAAGTAAGTCTTAAGCCTAGTTTTAAAACTGGACAATGTGTCAGCCTCATGGACAGAAACTGGAAGTTGGTTCCACAAGAGAGGAGCCTGAGAACTGAAAAATCTTCCTCCCGTTCCGTTTTTGGAAACTCTAGGAACTGCAAGTAAACCTGCAGCCTGAGAGCTAAGTGCTCTGTTAGGAAAATATGGAACAATAAGATCTTCATCCTCTGTGACTGTGTAGTCATTTAATGTAAACTCAAAGTTATTAAAAAATGGTCGGACAGAACAGGATTTTGAGGAACTATTACCAAGTCCTTAATCTCTATACCATAGGTCAGAACTAAATCAAGAGTGTGATGATAAGAATGAGTAGATGTGTGGACGTTTTGAGTAAAACCACTATTAAATTATTAAAGGCTATGCTTAAGCCATCACTCTCAACATCTACATAATATTGAAATCACCCATTATGATGATTTTATCAGTATTTAATAGTAAGTCATTTAATAATTCTGATAATTCATACAAAAACTGAGAGTAAGCTCCTGGTGGACGATATATAACAACTAGTAAAAGTGGCTTTTCTGATTTCCATTTTGGATGAGAAAGACTGAGGGACAGTGATTCAAAAGAATCATAACTAATAACTGGTTTGGCATTAATTAATAATCCTGACTGAAAAATAGAAGCTACTCCTCCACCTCGGCCAGTTGTTCTAGGAACATGAAACAGATGTTTAAAGCTACTTAGAGAGGTCGAGATCAAGGTCAAGAGGTTCATCTTCATATCATCATCATTATTCGTTTTATATGAGGCTGTAATAAAATCTTCTACAGGCAAGTACGATTTCTACAAATATATGCATGCATGTCCAAAAAGGCAACTTGAGGTAAGTATAAGGTCAGTCAAA